TTCACTCCTTCTTTGTCAACCTCTCTTGCCACTCATTTTCGATCACCCTCACTGTCGTATAGATAGGGCTCATATGCCACTACTGTACATAAGAATTACCCCGTTTAAGCAGATAAGAGACACTAGAGTAGTGTCACACTATTTGTACATTTAAATCCCGATACCAGTTATTATCCTTAACATCAGATACTAAAGAGATTATCTCTTTCTAAAATAAACAACAGTCTCACCATACTCAACATCTCTATCCATCTATATCACACTCACCTCCAACCCCATCCACTCCCACCACTCACTTCCGCATTGGCCTATGGAATATCAATGGCCTTCAAGCCTCCTTGGTCGATGATATCCTCCAACACTACTTATCGAAGACTACTATGTAGATACAGTGGCTGAAAAAATTGTCCAAACCTATGCCAGTTTTTTAAGTTTTTATTCATACCGCAGCTTTTGCCATATGTATCGTCCGAATTTTTTTTTATATGAAAAGTACATTCTCTTCTCTACCTTGTCGCGAAATCTCGAAGATCGCATTGCAATTCATCGCATTGCATTCAGCATTTCAACATGATCGGTCGGTTTGGACAATTTTTTCAATAAATCTGAAAATAAGAAAAAGTGCTTTTTCAGCCGTTTTTCTTCCTTGCTGGTACGAAAAACGCTGGCGAAATAAAAATATCTTAATGGCAACGTCCTCTAAAAAATATACACGAAGCATTCCAGGCAGAATCGTGCAATTCATGAACGCCATTAGCTCCAGGTTGAATTTGGTGCATAATGGGCAGATCTGGGGGACCGCCAGCACACTGCATCTTTTTTTTGAGCACGTTTTTCATAGTACCGCGACTTATTTTTTATTCATAGAAAAAGAGAATTTTTTTCTCTACGCTGTGCCAAAATCCCGAGCATTTTACTCCAATTCATCCTAATGCCATTGCCAATCCCGCATGTGCTCTTCATTAAGAATGGTGCTCAAATGACATGAAAAAAAAGCAGCCGAAAAAGCCTGGGAAATAATGTTGCGGTGAACAAAAACCGTGCTGCCGTGCATTTTACAGCCTTTCGGATCATATTCAGGCTAACGAAAATGCTGGAAGAATAAAATCTGCTTACGCCATGTGGTCAGATTAACCTCATGCTTGTCATAAGCGCATCCTCCGCATTTCACTCATCATGTCAGATCATTTACCGGGAAATAGCCACAAGCCAGCAGTAATGACGTTCTTAAGGCTCTCACTATGCAAAAAAAGGCACCCGGAGGTTGTTAAGCTTATCAGGAGTACGTTGATCTGCTATAATGAGTGAAATGCGGAGGGTGCGCTTATGACAAGCATGAGATTAATCTGACCACATGGCGTAAGCAGATTTTATTCTTCCAGCATTTTCGTTAGCCTGAATATGATCCGAAAGGCTGTAAAATGCACGGCAGCACGGTTTTTGTTCACCGCAACATTATTTCCCAGGCTTTTTCGGCTGCTTTTTTTTCATGTCATTTGAGCACCATTCTTAATGAAGAGCACATGCGGGATTGGCAATGGCATTAGGATGAATTGGAGTAAAATGCTCGGGATTTTGGCACAGCATAGAGAAAAAAATTCTCTTTTTCTATGAATAAAAAATAAGTCGCGGTACTATGAAAAACGTGCTCAAAAAAAAGATGCAGTGTGCTGGCAGTCCCCCAGATCTGCCCATTATGCACCAAATTCAACCTGGAGCTAATGGCGTTCATGAATTGCACGATTCTGCCTGGAATGCTTCGTGTATATTTTTTAGAGGACGTTGCCATTAAGATATTTTTATTTCGCCAGCGTTTTTCATACCAGCAAGGAAGAAAAACGGCTGAAAAAGCACTTTTTCTTATTTTCAGATTTATTGAAAAAATTGTCCAAACCGACCGATCATGTTGAAATGCTGAATGCAATGTAATGAATTGCAATGCGATCTTCGAGATTTCGCAACAAGGTAGAGAAGAGAATGTACTTTTCATATAAAAAAAAATTCGGACGATACATATGGCAAAAGCTGCGGTATGAATAAAAACTTAAAAAACTGGCATAGGTTTGGACAATTTTTTCAGCCACTGTACTGTATACCACAAAAAGGACTGGTAGTGTTGGAGGATATCATCGACCAAGGAGGCTTGAAGGCCATTGATATTCCATAGGCCAATGCGGAAGTGAGTGGTGGGAGTGGATGGGGTTGGAGGTGAGTGTGATATAGATGGATAGAGATGTTGAGTATGGTGAGACTGTTGTTTATTTTAGAAAGAGATAATCTCTTTAGTATCTGATGTCTAAGGATAATAACTGGTATCGGGATTTAAATGTACAAATAGTGTGACACTACTCTAGTGTCTCTTATCTGCTTAAACGGGGGTAATTCTTATGTACAGTAGTGGCATATGAGCCCTATCTATACGACAGTGAGGGTGATCGAAAATGAGTGGCAAGAGAGGTTGACAAAGAAGGAGTGAAGCGGTGATTGGGATTAATTATCTTTAAAGTGTGCTACTATGAGCTTGGGTGTGTTCACGTTTGGCATTGACCATATCAATATCAGGATTAGAAGCCTTTTCTTTGGCAGAGGAAATGGGAGCACCTTGGCAGGAACTCAGAATGCGAGAAACATCTGCCTCATTAAAGATTGCATATTTTAGAAAGGAGCGGGCAGTAGGTGAGGCAAGGTGATAAGGAAGGCGGGCCATGGCTTTTTCGCATCGACTATAGTGAAGAGTCTCGGTAAACAGGTGTTGTTCCTCAAGTGGTAAACTTTTGATTTTGGGATCAGTAAGATGGACAGGAGCAAGAGGGTCAAGATCAAGGAAGGGCTTAATGGTATGCTTTTCAAGTGTGGCAAGAACAGAGGAATGGTACTAGTTGTAGATAAGAAGTCCAATAACAGAGTGAGCAGGGAAAGTTATATCTGGAATTCTATAGGGGTCGATTCCAAGGCGGCGAAGATGAGAACATGCTTCTTAGCAGGTGAGTCTGCAGGAACAAGGGATATAGAGGTACTGGAAGGCACTAGGGCCTTCAGCTTCCTTGAATGTACAGACTGAAGCAGCCAAGCTTCTGAAAGTGTGCTTAACATGTGGAGAGCGAATTTTTTTTGGACACAGTGGCCCAGGTGAATTCATCAGAGCCCAAAGGTGTAGGAGTGGTTGCAGACATGTTACAGCCTCAGTGTTAGGGGCGGAAATAGGGACAGTAGGCTTAGAAGCACTAGCGGTGGTAGCAGCAAGTTGGGCTTTCAACTGAGTATTCTCATCATGCAGCTGTTGGTTTTCTTCAAGGAGGTGATGGATCTGGTCAAGTTCAGTATGATGTATAGTGACTTGCACAGTCAGGTAATTAATTGGGCCTGCATGGCCGCAAATTGTTCAGGTGAAGTGGTGGTAGACATTGAGTTAGGATGCGACATCAGCAGGCGAAATTCAGAATTGGAGTCCGGTTCAGACACAAAAGGTGGTACAGGGATTGAAGTGGTTGCCGGAATATGGGATTCAGCGATGGAACTGGCTGAAATCAACGTTGTGTTTCTTTGATACACTTTCCTTGAATTGGAGACATTTCAGAGAAGAATAGTGGTAACGATTTCAAACTTCAGGAATAGGTCGGTAGGCTGTGGATGCACAATGTAGCAAATAATGATAGATTGATAGAAGGGATTTAAGTGTGGGTGGAACAGGCGTAATTCCAGCTAAAAGTTTTCCCGCTATAAAAAACGAGAAAAGTGATGAAGAGCGGAAAAAGAGTGCAGCCTTAGCTCAGTCGAAAATGTATAAGTTTATTAGAGAAATGGATGATCGGCCTTGGGGAAAGCCCTCTACAGACCAAACCTCAGGTGAACAGAAGGAGAAAAAAAAGAGGAAAACGAAAAAAACACCTATCGAGTCGTAAGAAAGATGAAAAAGGAAAACAAAATAAAATCTAAAATGAAATTACAGGAGGGATCCGCTAGCTAGCAACTAACCTTTCAACACCAAGGTCTTTCTCTGCAACGTGCTTAATGTTTGTCGCAGTGGAAGGAAGAGGCCAGAGGGAGATCTGGGCATTGTTCACTAGGGCCACAAACAAAAAGATCGAGCCAGACTGCCTGGGAGTAGGATCAGTGGTGTAGTCACCGTTGGGATTGCAGAGTTGATCAATGTGCCAAAGAATAGTGCAAAGATCCGAACAGAAATGAGGTGACGCAGCAGAGCGGGAAGTGGGCAACAGATTCAAAGCATATTGATACGAACTCCAGTAAAATCTGATGGCAGAAATAGAAGGCTGTACCAGAGTATGGACGGGATCTTAGGGCAAAGTATTAAATGCTGCCATTTGGTATTACCAAAGCCACAAGCACAGGGACGAGGTTTACCTGACAACTAACCCATTCACCATCGCACAAGGCGACTGCGGTCAGGCCGAGAGGCAGGAACAAAGAGGACAGGGTCAATTTCGAGTGATGATTGGCACGCACAAATGAGCACACGATTGGTGGAAGGAAGAAAAGCGGTAAATCGAGTCTGGCGATATTGACGCAGCCAAGAGACAAGACGGGAATTGGAGAAGTCATCCGCAGGATGATCAAGATCAATCTGTCGCTGACGGAGACAGGAGAGAAGAGACAAACGAATGGAAGGTGAAAGGAGTGTGAGGAGGCAATCGTCTGGAAGGTATTCAGTACGGAGGCAGAATTATAACACCAGAGTGGCAGCACGGAAGGACATGTTGGGAAGGTTACACATGTGCTTGAGCACCTGGGTTGAGGAAGCCCAATCACCACTGACAGTCATCCGAAGACAACGATCTTGCACACGTTCGAGTTCAGCATCCTTTTTTTTTGAGCACGTGAGAAATGGCCAAACCATACTCGAGCTTGGGGCGGATGAATGCAGCGTAGATACGTGTACAGAAAAGCAGCAAAAAACTATTACGGTTAAGGCCCATGGCGTTTAACTGGGATATTGCAAGAAATGTACTTTGCGCACGGTGCCAGATCATGGAAGAGGCATCGATACCTTTGGAACGGAATGGCACACCAAGGTAGACAAATTCGTCAACAGGCGAGAGGGACTCATTATACAGACTTAAACGAACATACTGTATGAATCATGGTGTGATCCGTTTGTTCACTTTAATGAGTTTTGGTATGGTCTTGCACTAGTACAGAGTAAATAATAAAGTACATTGAATTATATTGATCTTGTCATTTGAGCTTGGTATTGTTCTCTAAGTTGCTGAATTGTATGCTTATGTATATTCTTGTCATGGAGACGCTTTACAGTATTGACGAACCGATTGTCATCTGTGATGTTTAATGTGGAGCCTAGTAATGCCATAGAACTGTCTAGATCACCATTCAATAGTTGATCTGTCAATAGAAGACGATCCAAAAGCTATCAGAAATTATCACTTTCTGTTTCACAGAATCCCCAATCTTACCCTGAAAAGTCATCAACAGGACAACAGCAACAAAATGAAGGATATCGTAGCCGCACAATGCATAGATATCCCAGATACGCAACAATGTATGGTAATGTACAACACCCCCAGTGAACAGCGTAATATACCACCGAGTAGAATACATTTCGCTGCATAAACCAATGTCATTCTACAACCAATAGACCATTACTTTTTCCGAAACAATATGCAGCAACACAGTGAGAACATTAGAAAATTACCAAATGACGGAAAAGCTTCGGTAAATAACGCTGGATTAGCCGCTCTTGTATGTAGAAGCTTTCCATGAGAGCCGGGAATCCAGGGATGAATAGATTGTGTAAACGATCGCGCAAAAACAAGTGAACCAGCACTGTGAATGCTCTCTATCAAGAGTGGATAAAGGAAGGAATTGAATTCAGCCGGTGAATAAAATAGCAAATGGGTTCATAAAGTTTGTACCTCTTCTTCGTAATACATGAGCAATATGGCGGCGATATTTGTCATTCCTTGGCAATAACCTACTTCTTCGTCATATACAGCAAAGGCTCGCAACACATTAAAGAGCGCTCGTTGACTAAGAGTTAGACTTTAGTGAAGATTTCTCGGAATAAATCACAGCGAAGCACCCACCCTGAACCATATCGTTCTCGAAACATGATATGACCATGCAACGTCCGGGGAATATCCAGATCAATTTGCCGTTCGTGAGGAGTACTTTTTGACAGCAAGTGCTATGATGATTTATAAGCAACAAGTCTTTGATGGTGTACCAATGTCTACGGAAGCTGTTTACCGCATACGTTTCGAGGAGTTTTTTGTCATCTTTAGCCGTTTGAAACCCATCCGTGCAAAGAAAGTACCTGTCACATAAAACGTCAAAAAAAAAGCCGATTAGTATACACGCGATTATTATACAAATGAGATGCAGCATCCTATGGTAGCAGATCTTTCGTACCATGCGTCCCTCCGCCAACAGTCAGGAATACCTTTGTAGACTCTTTGAATGAACTAAAAATAATATGCAGATCGTCAGTAAACGAGAAGAAGGGAAATCCGATCAGTCATTTGGCAATGAGACAACGCGATATTACCTTATTTGACCAATGAAAACCGTGTATGCCTTCTGCATTAACGGCTATGGCCATGTGGGCCCACTTTTCGGATCGCTCAACTTCTTTTGCCTTTTGTCTAAACAAGTACTGTTACCGTCAGCCATGAGCATGCCAACAAAGGAAGTGGGCTACAAAGAGTGCATAGAGAGTTGGTGGTGATAAAGCACGTACTTCTCGTTGAGCTCGCTTTTTTCGTCTTCCAAGAATCCATATCTAATAGACAAAACAGAGTGAGCGATGCTGGAGCGTGAATGGTGCCGGAGGCGGGTGTCTCAATAATAATAAGATAGAAGGACTTGCATTCAGACAACCAACCTATCTGTCATGGCGTACCAGCGTTCCATTTCCGCGGCGACATCAGGTACAACATTTTGTTGTATTTGATACTGTTTTTTGATATCTTTGGCGTTGTTAGGGTGGTGATCACCGGTGTCTTCCGATGGCTGTTGAGTGGCGTGTGGATCAGCGAGGTTTACTATATTTTGAGAAGGAGTGCTGGTTAGTGATTCACCGGTATCGGTAAATGTTGTGAAGTCTGTGTCGGATGATGATGTCGTTTTTTGGGATGGACGTGTGGAGGCCATGTAGGAAAAGAACCTTTTTTCTAAAATTCTTTTTTTTAGAAAAAAGGGACGACGAAGATCGCGTGCATGCAATGGATGGATGATCCACTCACGTGATCGAAGGGACATCCCTGAATGAAAAAGCAGACGATATGATTGGCTTACAAGGAATAGGTATTTGAGAACCGAAAAAAAAAGACCATATGCGAAAAGCAAGGTGCTTTTAGACTCCACTATAGCGGAGGATGAAAAAAGCAATGGGCTCGCATCAGGGTTTTGCTAAATGGGGAACTTGTCTTTCCCCTTATTTCTTATTAAACTCGACTCTTTAGATTCGCTCCCTGTATTCCTTTTTCTCATCTCGTTTCTCTTTTCTTGTCCTTTTTCCATGTCGCAGAGTCCGGTCGAGAGTCCTCAAGTAATGACCCTTTGTAACACTGCATAATCCAAATTGCAGTGGTTATCTGACACCTCATATTTCCATAGTTCAAGTCTCAGCAACAGACTACCCTCAACGGCTATGTTGGTTTCGACACCATCACTCAGCAGATTGAGAAAAAATCGTTGAAGCGTGGTTTTCAGTTCAATATTATGGTGGTCGGTAAGTTATTCGGTGATAAGCTCATCCGCGCTCCTTGAAAGAGTATATCAAGATCTCATCATCATCCTTCATGGATAATGAATATTCTGAATCTTGTGCTGCAGGTCAGTCGGGTCTAGGAAAATCGACACTGGTAAACACCATCTTTGCCTCTCATCTCATCGACAGCAAGGGACGTCTGAATGCAGATGAGCCTCCGCGTCAAACGACGGAGATTGAGACCGTGTCCCACTGTAAAGTTGATTCTCTTTTGGGTGGCTTTCTAACAGTTTTGTCGTTGTTGGACTCAAGTTACATTACTTAGATATCGAAGAAAACGGCGTTCGTCTTAAATTGAACATCGTGGACACTCCTGGCTATGGAGACCAAGTGAATAATGAGAATTGGTACGTTTGATCACTGTGTTCCTAGGCCATTATAATGTATTTAACATGCTTCATATCTTGCAGCTGGGAACATATCATCAAATATATTAAGGATCAGCATTCGGCATACCTTCGCAAGGAACTCACAGCTCAACGTGAGCGTTACATCCAAGATTCTCGAATCCACTGTTGTCTCTTTTTTATCACACCCTCGGGTCATTCGTAAGTGCCTAATATCATCCTGACTATCGCTCAAGGACCAAATCTCACAGCGAATGCCTTTTTTTATCAGTCTCAAGCCAATCGATGTGGTTGTCCTGAAAAAGCTCTCCGAAGTGGTGAATATTGTGCCTGTCATTGCCAAATCCGATTCACTGACATTAGAAGAACGTGAAGCTTTCAGAAAACGTGTAAGTTCAAGTGATAGTTTATTTCCGTCATCTTTATATCCAAAGTCTTTATGTATTCATCCATATGCGTAGATCAAAGCCGAGTTGGCTTTTCATAACATCACTCTATATCCATATGAAAGCGACGAAGATGACGAGCAAGAGAAGGCTCTCAACGAAAGCATAAGGGTAAATAGGGGTACAAAGATTACCACGCACCAAAAAAATAGAGGCTTTAAACATAACGGGTTAGTAACTAAATTGAAATAGGAGCTTATCCCGTTCGCGGTAGTAGGGTCAGAAAGGCATGTTATCGTAGATGGCAAAGCCGTCAGAGGACGCAAGGCACGATGGGGCGTTATTAATGGTAAGAATAAGTCGAAGGAAAAATCACAACAAAAAATAAGTAAAGAAAACCTCTTGATCTGACATTTCCGTGATACGATGATTGGCTTCTTTTTATTTTATAGTGGAGGATGAAAATCACTGCGAATTTGTGCATCTTCGAAACTTTTTGATGAGAACTCATTTGCAAGATTTGACCGAGACAACGGCTCAAATTCACTATGAAGCTTTTCGATCGAAGCAGCTGTTGGCTATCAAGGGAGCTGCGCAACCACCTGGCGGAACTCCCATGAGCTCACCCGCACCTCCTACCCCGGCGTCTCCTTCGACAAACCCGAATAGCAGCCCTGCTCAGGGATCTGCAAGGTAAGCAAAATAACACCGAAAAGTATCAAAGCGATTTGAGTCAGTGGAAAACAAAAATGAGGTGGTGATTTTGGTGATGGCTTTTCTCCTGTTTGTCGTATTATTATTATTATGGCTTCTTGTTGGATTCCAGTTGTGTTTTCCTTTTTCTCTTTTTCCTGTTTTCTCGCTGATGGAAATAAGCTATTGACATTGGAACCAATTTACTTATATGATTATCTCAGATCCGTGCCTGCTTTTGCCTAGTAGACCTGTTTTTATTCGTTTTTTGCTGCCTTTATCCATTCATTCGCCATCCCATCATTTTCTTCTTTTTATTTAAGATAGTCATAGTGATATTTATCCAAAAAAAAAGACATTTCCCCCTTTTTTCCCCTTCTTCTTTTTGTTAAACCGGCGATGATGCATCCTACGCCTATTACCCCATCCTTCTTATACCTTTATGGTAATTTCAAATAATATTGCACATGAGGAACCATTGCCAAAAAAAAACGAGCGGACAGAAAAGCTGCATATGTTTATTCAAAAGAAAAATTATGTTTGGTTTTTTTGTTCGTTTGAATCATCTACAATGAAGATCAGTAACATGCAGATAGGTGTACAAAACCCTCTTTTCCCCCCTTCCAGCAAAATTAGATGGAGAGCGGAAAATCAAGGGTCCATAACCACAGATGTGTGGAAAAGGAGGGGTAAGTGATGATGTAATACGAAAATCAAGTAGTTAACGACGATCCGAATGTGTAAGTGATGAGATGGTTAAGTGGTTAGAAGGGAAAGAAAAATGGGAAATGCATCAGGAATTCCAATGAGGTTCTAGTCGATATCGATTTTCCATGAATCGTTAGGGAAGTTCTTCTTGAGTTCCAGATCATGTTTATGCTTATTGGCCGCTCCGCGCTGAACGTAAGGTTTGAGACCATTGTCGAAATTTCTCATACAAAGAATTCCAAATAAACCGGTGACCACACAAATAGCGATACCGAGCCACACTAATAAGATCGCGTCGACATTAACAAGGTTTTTATCTCGCCCACCATCACGAGCAATAAGCTTACCAAGACAAATCCACGTATACCAGTTATTATTTGGTTGAAACGTCTGTTGAAGAATCAATGCAAAATGCACAATAACAATGCCTTGATATGTCACAAAAGTAATCATTCGACCCCTGCTTTCGGTACTTCCCTAATAGACGTTTTACACTGGATCAGTATTGCAAGGCATGTCTGGCTGGCAATCCATCCTTGGCATTTTGAAAGACTTACCGCAGTACGCGCAAAATAAAGCATCGGTAGCATGAAAATAGTCACAACAAGTTGGATGCCGGTTTCCCATTCTATGCCCGCCTGAAGAGCTCGCTGAATGATGTAAAATAATGATACCATGAATTCCGTAAACACATCGATCTTCAGAGCCAACACGAAGAATTGGAAGATACGATACATTCCTGAAAATAAGGAAACATATGGATTAATATATATTCTTACATTACAATCCCGAGACGGTGTCGTCGATAAAAATTACGTTGAATCTGGATATCGGCTCCAATCTTCTTGTAAATATTCCAACCGAATTGTCGCGACATTTCATAAGAAAGGTAACCCATGGCACAAGCAAATAAAAGAATGATGACACACAGTGCAATTTCAATCTTTTCTGCTATGGATAGTGGTAATGTAGAATAGATAGTGGTACTCAAAAGATTTAACCATTTGACACCGTCCACCACCTGAAGAGCTCCGAGAATAGCGCACAGAGCATTCAAGATGGCCAATGCGAGAATTTCGGCCGTATTTTGATAGATGGTCTAAAGAGAAATGTAACGTTTTATTAGCTTGAAAAAATAAAATAAAAAAATTGATACTCACAGCATCCAAAACCATGCCCAGGAACCAGACTTGAAACCCGATAAATGCAATATTTTCCCATTTGATACGTCCCAAACGATCTGCCGCTCGGATAGGAATATCATCCGCCGATGTAGATGTACTGGTCAACACACTCCCGGATTCAGGATGCGGGAGCAGATCGGCTTGCAGGGTATTTTGCGAACAGATCGCGATTTGCAAACACACAATGAAAATACATTGCAGAATCGCAGTGGAAATATATAATTTTGACCACCGGGTTTCTGTAACGCGAGAGACCTGTGGAAAGTACAAACAATATTAACGCTTAGGAGCAGGGAATAACAACAGAAAAAAAAAAGGTTTGAAGGCACAAAAAAGAAACCAAGGCCACGACGTACAATTTTATCAACGGACACCATGACAGCAAGAAACGAGGGTCACAAGCAAACCAGCTGCCTGTACAAAATATGGGAGAGGACAAGGAAATGAAGGGAAAGGGAATCGTATGATTAGAGATGAAGTGTAGGTAGAAACAAACTATCGGGGTCCATTTTGTTCACATTGACCATGAAATGTTTGTACGACACTCATCGTTTGTATGTGGTGATTTATTTTTACGACCAATGAATGCAGCTTTCGGTGGAGGATCTCCGCTTCATTCATGTCAATAAATTCGAAAAAGGAAACTCAAAAGTCTGGCGGAAAAGAGAGAAAATGTAAAGAAAATGAAAAAGGATTGAGGGAGCTATACGGAAAGCAAGATTTCCCCCTAATTTGGTGTAAGCTAAGAAATTCAACCAGTTAATGGCGCCTTTGGAAATATAGTCTTCATTGAACGTCCTTGGCAGACAAAACAAAGCTGAGACAAGTGAGAATTCGATAAGATTAATTAGTTTATCAGGCACCGCAAAATGGATATTGGTATGATCTACCGTAAACTGCAACCGTCATTACTAGGAATTTTGTTGTCCGCTTTGTTTGATGCGGTACTGGCATCGACTTGGAAGATGTTGTTACTGTCGGCGACATCTCTGTTCAATATTGTCTTGCAAACTGCCTTTTGGCAGAGCAAGCTTGAGTATAGATCCTCATGAATGGGCTTCAGCGATATTTCCTAATTTCTTGCATACTTAAGAAACAAAACAAAATTGGATGGAAGATTTTGAGTAACAAATCAACTTGGATGGGTATGCTTCATCCAAAGGGACGTCAAAAGCAGGCCTTGATGCCCACTTTTTCTTGAACTGAGGCAAAGCACCTCTGATGGCCTCTCAGCCGCCGTTGCCAAAGGCAGTTGAGACAATTTCTCAAAATTGGCCCCTTCCCACTTCTCCGGCTTCCTCAAAACTGGAAAAATAATAATGAACAATTTGAATCATTTAATTTCAGGGAACACAAAGCAGCTCTTGACCTTGCATTTTCTTCCACCCTGTCGTTATTTGTCCTTCCTCTCCAGCTGTTTACTTTTTTTAGGCTTTCTTTAATTCTTCCCGCCGTATTATTTCGTCATGGTTGTCGGAGCGGTGCAAAATTGTTTGGAGTTTGGCTCTATCATGGAGACTTGACAGGAACTGTTCCGAGGAACAATAAGAAGGAGTGCAAATGCTATAAATTGTTACTTGTGCTCAATGGTCGGGTATCTGTGACAAACCTTTCAATTTTCTGCAATCATTGCTTCCAGTAGATGATGTAGTTGCAATCCTTCGTTCTTGTTGATGGCGTAGCAAATGAATAAAGACAACTTTTTCGTCGTAACTTTGCTGGGTATGCTCTAGTTCTTCGCAAGTTCAAAGCGAGCAGGTGGACCCATATTCTCAAGCATTAATTAGATTTGTGGTGGATACCCTTTAGACCTTGTAATCTACGCTCGAGATTTCACAAAATGAGCGTATTTCTTTGAATGCATGATCAAAGCATTCGACTGCTTGTCATATCTCTTGACGCAATATTTGTCGGTAGACATTGTGGTAAATTTCCTATCACTACCTCCAGTTGGCCAAATTTACACCAATCGGTAAGCACGGAAGCATCGCTGAGACCGGGGTCAAGTTCAAACAGGTGTATGGATTCCAATTCTCATTCATGGAGATCCGTTTGGTAGAGTAGCAGTAAGGATCTATGGAAGCGTCGTCTGCCGAAGTGGGGAGCACTGTACGACTATATACATCAACGTACGTCATAAAGCTGATAAACTAGGTCTGATTATTAAGGAATCCACAACATGGACAGTGGCACTTGGCAGCTGCTATTTTAATTTTATCGCGTCGATTCGCCATATTTCCCTTGTAGATGGCTTTTCCCCTCAAAATGCACAATGCCAAGCTATTTCTTGATCATGCCATGATCAGCTCAAATTCTGGCTCTCGTCGAAACTTGGGGGTTCTCTCGCGAGGGTTGTGGCCTTCTCAGAGAGTTATTATGGCACCTTCGATTCTTGGGGTCTCTCGTCGCTTTTAAACCGCTGCTTATTTTGCCAGTCTCAACAGATCCATCTCGGCTGGTTGCCTGTCTTTTTTTCTTAATCTTGAAAACGACTAAATGGATTTGTATCATCCGATGGGAGGCGTAAAGAAGCGAAGAGAGAACACTGTATCTTTATTGCAGGAATAACGCGTGGTTTTTGCTGGCCGTTCACTCGGAGTTCAGGGAAATCGGCACACCTTGTATTCACCTCCAATTCTCGACGCATTGCCCTTATCGAGCCTTTTCCCATCACTTTTCATAAAAAATGAACTCATTCTTCTGTCAACTTTATATAATCCACTCTGTCGGGTTATCATAAAATTCTGCTTCTCTTCCCCTTCGGCATGCTGTCGATGTCAAAGTCCGGAGCATCGAACCCATTTGGAAAGGCGGTCATTGAAAGTAACAAGGATCCGTCTTTCCGAAATTAAATGAGATTGTACCGGGTGCGCACAGGCTGGCAGTTGTCACTTGCTCTCTCTTTCAGTGAAGTCGATCGAGTATCCACGCCGAAAAAAGATTGCGCTATCAACGGAATACAAATTTGCCCGTATTTAGCAAATTGATCCATTCTTGGATGAGAGGGTCCATTGTGTGCTGTAGCTCTTGCTGCTCCAAGTCTCCATGACTTGATCAACTGTGACTGGACCCGACCTTGCAGAGCTAAACTATTGTAGATGATTCAGAGCAAGAATCATGATATTGTATAGGGAAACACGAAGTATTCATTGTTTTATCAGCGAGATGGCCATAAATAAAAAGCGAGTATGCAAAGTTTAATTGAAAAAATCTGGGTAAAAATTTTTAAGAGGCAAGGTAATTGTTGAATCAAAAAAGCCAGAAAACCAAAGGATGAGGGCATACAAAAAAAAGCTGGATGCATTAGACAAGCCACACTTACTCATCTTTTGTTTTTACTTACAAAAAAACCGTTTTCACAGCATTGCGGGAGCCGCCACCGCACGCCGCCAAGACATGGGCTTTGTTCAAGTTTTTAAATTATAGAAGCACATACAGCAAGTATGTGATCCGGCATAACATTCAAAAAGTAAGGCACTTGAGCACAAATACATTACCTTTCAAAAAAATTCATGGTTGGACACAAAAAAAACTTTTCGTTGCGCAAAAGCTATTGTGAAGGTTCAGTCGTTGATAGCACAGTTGTAGTCATCATGAGTATACGTTCAGGATGGGTGATTTGAGCAAATGTAATGAAAATGAGCAATAAAAAAAATGTATGGCGCGATGGATGGATGGTTTTGCGCAAGAAAAAAGAAAATAGATGTGCGATGAAGAGAAAAGAAAATGGATGGAAGATGCGTCGTATTTTATAGACATGAAAAAAGAGGCGATCCCTCGTACTGTAGTTAAAACCTTTATTGTTCCATAATGAAGCAGGAAAAAGACGCCATGTGTCTTTTCTCATCGCTTCACGTAATATTTATCCTTTGATAAGAGAGTGTGGCCTCATCGCATGAAATAAATGCATGAAGTAGGTCCGAGATAATGTTAGAGAGAGAGTGATCGGGATGTCTTTATTCAAGTCTTCTTATGTTGGCTGATCGGATACACAGGTGCACATAACTTTCGTACAGACGTAATGGATGGCTCGTTAAACTACTGTAGCTTTCAACTCGTATTATACAATTTATTGAAAAACAAAGTCATCCTCATGAAGCATGAAGGTGGCCTCTTCTTTTTGATGAAGGAAGTCGTCAGTTTCAGCGCATTTTCCCTCCAGGATTACGCAGGCATTCTACAAGGCCAAGGTAATATAACGAGATCCCCCACACTCCCCGCCAATAAAGGACCAAGTCATGATTTTTGCTTCCTTGCAACTTATTTCATTATTATTTCTTCATTTCCCGAGCAAATGAACTGAAAGATGAAAAAGACATTAGGAAAGTTAACGAATTTATCGGGATTATAAAAAATTTTGCCAGGGCACCGTATGGGACAAAAAAAAGGACAATCAAGTATTCTCTACTAACAAGCTGTACACCCGCTGTGCAATGGATGCCACCTGCTACTGGACGTCACCCCCTTACATTGAGCGACATTCGTCAGACAAAAGCCTAACGCATACGGCATAACCTGGGCGAGACTCTTGATGAAACTTTGGTATATTAATGTCAATACTCTGGCATA